GGGGGGGGGGGGGGACGACAGGGAGGGGCATGTGGTAAAGAGAATTCCCACCAGAAGATCCGGGGGAATCTTACAGATACACTTGTTGAAGACCTGTCTCCTGGGGCCGGGCTGAGGGCAGGGTTCGAGGGATGCGGGAAGGATCCCGGGAAGTGAGGGCTGTGAGGCCGGCGGGGCTGTTGACACCAGGCTGGCTCTGTCTCTGCTGGGTGGGGCCTCCCCTTCCACACCTGCAGGGGTCTGTGCTGGCTGATCCGTCTGCCTGGCTCGCAGGACTTAGGATTCTGGCCCTTGGGATCCAAGTGCCCGCCGCCAGTTGGCCTGGAGTGAGGGCAGTGCCCAGCAGAGGCCCTCAGCCCAAGCTTAACTGTCCCTAGATGGCCCTGGGAGCCCTTGTGCCACTCCATCTCATCTCAGGTCTTAGGGACGATTTCCCAGAGGTAGAATAGTTAACCCTTTCTGGGGCAGCCTGGAAAGTGCCCCTTTGTTCTGGGCTTTTGTGGGGGCAGTGGGTGGCGAAGTGGCCCCCAAGATGCTGGGACGTGGCAGTGACCAAGGCCGGGCCCTCCCTCTGGAGGCTCTGCGAGGGGCCACCCAGCAGCCGCGGGGCAGGTGAGGGACGTCACTCCAGGCAGCGCGGGCTTTTTTTTTTTTTTTTTTTAATTTATTAGTTTTTCTTTTTTCATTTTTTTTTGGCTGCATTGGGTCTTCGTTGTTGCACACGGGCTTTCTCTAGTTGCGGTGAGCAGGGGGGCTACTCTTCATTTTGGTGCGTGGGCTTCTCATTGCGGTGGCTTCTCTCGTTGCGGAGCACGGGCTATAGGTGCATGGGCTTCAATAGTTGTGGCACTTGGGCTCTAGAGCCCAGGCTCAGTAGTTGTGGTGCACGGGCTTAGTTGCTCCATGGCATGTGGGATCTTCCTGGACCAGGGCTTGAACCCGTGTCCCCTGCATTGGCAGGCGGATTCTTAACCACTGTGCCACCAGGGAAGTCCAGCTCGGGCTTATTAATCCAGCCAACAGCGAGCCTCTCCAGCAGGCACCCTTCCTGGAGAAGCAGCTGACTGATCTGCTTCAGTTCTCCAGTTCTGCTGGACGGGGAAGGAGTCCAGGTGGAGTAAGGAAGGAGGGGGCAGAGCCTGCAGAGGTGGAATTGTCGGAGGTGGAATTACCGTGACTCGCCGAGTCGGAGTAGTTGGCCAGGGCTCAGCTTTACTTGCCTCTGCTTCCGTGTAGCTTGAGTGTCCTACGGAATCAATGATTTCTTTTCTAATATAGTGTCCCCAAATCTGTGATATTCCACCATCTTTACTTCTTAGAAGATTCCAGCATTCAGGGGAGACTTCTCCTGGGTGCACTGGCGTATGCAGTCATTGGCACTTGGGGTCTGGGGGTGTCGGGGCTGAGCTGGCACTGGCCCCTGAGGCAGAGATGCCGCCTGGGCAGAGCTTTGGGCACGGCCCGCTGGCTGCAAAGATTACCCATCGCGCTTCAGAACCTTCCTGTTTACTTTGGCCTCTGGAGCGTCTTTTTGGCGTTTCCATTTTCCCCCTCGGATGGAACTGTGGTCTTCCCTTCTTTCACAATCACTGCTCTGCCGGGCTTGCTCATGTGCCCTGGGTAGGAACCCCACGTGATGAGAAATGCCGGGAAGGCAGCTGGGGTTGGAGCAGGGTTGTTAATCTCCGGATTGGTGAACAGCAGAATCTGAGAGGGCATCTCATCACCTAGGAGTTAACTTGAAAGTATTGATACCAGAAGCCATTCAACAGTGTCCTGTTGTCATTGTGATTATGTGGATCTGGTTTCCTATAATCCAGGGATTGTCTCCTGACTCCTCAGTGTGAAAACAGGTCAGAGAGAAAGGCAGAGTTTGTTACACACCCGTAAGTGTATGGGGCGATTATGGCCTATTTGGGATCATGTAAATATTGTTGGGGTTTGTTTATCTTGAACGTTGTCCATAAGCAGCGTTCTGCGGATAGAAGCTTGTGGTTGATTCGAGCATAACTTGTTTATCCAGACGTCCAGGCCTTTTCTCCAGCTGTCAGGGGGGTATTTCCCCCCAAATGTCCCCATCCCCCCACCCCTGCTCCACCTACCTGGGCTCCATGGGCATCATCACAGCCACCCAGCTGCCCGGTTGCCTGTCTCTCCTTCTGCAACCGCCCTTGGGTCCTCCCAGTTCTCCTGTTTCAGGCTCCTTTTCCAGCCACTCCCTCTGGTTGCCTCCCAGCAGGCTTGTTGTTGTTGGTCTGTCTGTCCTTTTTGCCTTCAGCCCAGACTGTGTACACAGTTGCTGGGGTGCTTTATCACTTAGATGCTGTTTCCTCCCATCTGTCACCTGCGTACGGTTGGCTGTCATTTCTCTAGTGTGGAATCTAAATGCTCCATCCGGATCCCCACCCCTCCCTCGAGTGGACCGGTCCTGGGGCTCTCTGCTCTTTTCCCAAGCAGCCCCACGGGGTGGGGGGGCTCCTGCCCTGTTTTTACACCACTGGGACTGTCGTCCTGGGCCGGCAGGGGAGGGGCTTCTACCCTGTTTTTACAGTTGTCTCGCTAAGTACCCACTGCCTCCCGCCAGTCCATGCGTCAGGGCCACCCTGTCCTTATCTGTCACCTTGGCCCTTCCCTCTTGGAATGAACGCACCACTTAGAACTCACTGATCTAGGAAGCCTCTCTGGTTTAATCCAGTGTTGATGCCTCGTGCAGCGTGATTCCAGGATAGAGGTTAAAAGGACGGGTGGGATGTGGCCCTGGGGGAGACAGCAGTGAACAGTCAGGAGCAGCGTCGGGATGAAGCGGCACAGCGGAGTTGGTTGTACACAGACTGCTGTGGAGACCAGGGTCTGGTTGGTTTCCGGCGTGGATCTATCAGAAGGGGCTCTGGAGAGAGCAGCACTTGAGCCAGGGCTTAAGGGACAAGTGGAATTCCAATCAGAGAGAAGTGAGTTAGGGCGCTCCCGGCTGCGGGCCGGAAAGAGCAGAGGTGGATGGGAGTGGACGTTCCCAGTATGTTTGGGGATGGCTGGTGTCTGACTGAGTTGGGATGCAGGGTGTGTGCGTTTTCCTGTGCTTCCTCGGTTCTCAGCCTCTAAGGCCTGGCCAGAACTTAGCAGCAGCTTCTTTGTGCACGAGCATGTGTGTGTGCACGTACGGGGGACTGCAGCGCGGGAAACTTGCACGGCTCTGCGACATACTCTCTGATCTTGGGTGAAAGCATGGTAAACGAGGAGTACCCCAGACTTGAGGAAGCACAGGTGCGAGATGGGAGGTATGCTGAGGCCTGCGGACTCGATTCTGAGAGCGGCAGGCCATGCTTTCCCGGCAGTGACCGAGCAGCGAGGGGTGGAAGAGTGGGGAGTACGCCGGTGGTGGGTCTGAACGGGGTTTTGGAACCCAGAGAAGAGGCAGGTCCTGGAGGGACTGTGGCCCCAGGGGTGCCTGGGGTCCGGTGGTGAGAAAGAGAGTGCAGAGGGAGGTTTCTGGCCTGGGCCTGGGCTGTTGAGCCCGACAGGGGAGTTTCCTTCCGGATGCGTGGGATCCAGGTCACTGGCCCGCTTGTCCCTTGTTATCTCAATACTTAGGAGGAAGTGTCCACTTGGCCTCTGCTTTCTTTGTAACGTTCTTGATTTTGATACTAGGTGTCAGGCTGTATCTCTGTGAAGTCCAGCGAGGGTTTTAACAGGCCAGAGCGGATGTGTACGGTGGGTCCCTGTCGGCGGTTTCAGCTGGCCTCGCTGGTGCAAGTTCTGCGAAGGGTCGGGGCTGCCTGCTTAGTGTGTGTGTGTGGCGGGGGGCCGGCACGAGCTGCTTCCTGTCTCAGGCAAGTGGCCAACGTGTTTGAGGAGGGCAGCCCGAGGCCGCGGGCCCACCTGCACCTGTCCCCAGCTGGCTTCACACTTGCCCCCCATTCTCACTGTGAACCGCTGTTCTGCTTTGAAAACAAAGCCAGCGTTGTGCAGATGACTCAGGTGACCCCAGTGGTCTCTGTTTTCCAGGAGGCACTCTGTGGGATGATGGAGAATGAAAATGCTTTAATCAAGGATGGCAGGATGGCACACTGGCCAAGGGAGTGGCCTTTGGGTGACACACACACACCTGGGCCTGAATCTCCCTACAACTCAGCCGCCTCGTGTGTGCCACTCAACAGCTCACTCTTGGAGCCTTGGTTGCCTCATTCGTAGAACGAGGTACGGTCTGCCCTCCGGATCTGTGGGTTCTGCATCCGCACATTCAATCAGTTGTGGATCGGAAATATTCCGGAAAACGATTCCCGAAAGTGCCAGTAAGCAACCCTTGAATTTGCTGTGCCCCAGCAACTATTTACATAGTACTTACATGTAGTTACAACTATTTACCTAGCATTTACATTGTATGAGGTATTATAGGTAACCTAGAGATGATTTAAAGTATGCAGGAGGATATCCGTAGGTTACATGTAAGTGCTAAGCCTTTTTACCTAAGGGACTTGAGCATCCGTGGATTTTGGTATCCTCGGGTCCTGGAAGTGATCCCGCATGGATACTGAGCGGCAACTGCAGTGGCACCACTGGTCATGCTGCTGTTTTCCAGAAGATCTTGGTGAGGGTTGCTACTCCGGGCAGGGAGCCATTTGCAGTGAGCCAGCGCAAGAGGAGAGCAGGCAGACTGCTAGCAAGATGATGTCTGATCATGGAGACTGCTGAGGAGACTGTTATAAAGAGCCATGGGGTGGTGGTGGGTGCTTTCAGGTTGGGTGGTCAGGGAGGGCTTCTCTGAGGAGGTAACAGTCAAGCCGAGACCTCGGTGACAGGATGGAGCCAGCCGTGGGGAGGCCTGGGGGAGAGCATCCGAGGCAGTGGGAAGCACAGGTGCCAAGGCCCTGGGGCAGGGTGGGGAGGAGGCGCGGGGGCCCGTGGGCCTCCTGGGGAGCGAAGGCATGCACAGCCGTCCGGGCTCCGCCCACCCGAGCACATGCAGGCTCCTGCTCCTGTGAAGACTCCCTTCTCTTATGAGCTCTGTAGGCCGCGGGGGGCCGGGGGGAGGGCACGGCCTGCAGCACCCTGCCCTGGGCTCTGCGTTGACCCTGTGCCCACCTCTCTCTCCCTCCAGTGCACTGTCCAGGTCAAGTTAGAGCTGGGACATCGTGCCCAACTACGCAAGAAGCCCACCACGGAGGGGTTCACGCATGACTGGATGGTGTTTGTCCGCGGCCCTGAGCAGTGTGAGATCCAGCACTTCGTGGAGAAGGTGGTCTTCCGGCTGCACGACAGCTTCCCCAAGCCCAAGCGTGGTGAGTGTCCCCACCCTGGCTGCCTGCCCTCTCCCTGGGGAGCAGGTGGCCTGTACCCCGCAGCCCGAGGCGAGAGCTCGCCCTCCACACAGGGCCTCCACCATCCCTTCTGCTTCTCCCTCGGCCGCGGACTTGGCTGGAGGGCAAACCCAGCGGAGGGGGGGACCGGATCTGGTGCCCGCC